CATCTGTGTGTGTGTGTTTTTTTTTAACTGCGAGTCTATAACCAAATCAGTCAGTAAATACAGCAGTGCATTGCACAAAACATACTAATTGTTGGATGTGTGCATTTAACTCATTCGGTAGCAGCCAATTCTGGACCAAGTCTGAAAAGACGTTTCAAAACGTCTTTGGGAGTGAATGAGTTAAGGGGCGTGGCCTGATGAGTGTTGTCATGAGGTGGAGTCGGAGTCGCACCGTGCGAGTTTTCTTATTTTATATTGGTGCGTTTGTGTGAGCCGTTAAAATGAAGTGTTGAAAGTACATAGTTTCTTTTTTTAAACAAATGATTTAGAGCAAAGTGAATTGCAAATAGTCACGTGTTCTGCTTTTTATTCCTATCTAAAGCAATGTTAAGGGACCGCCCCAAAAAAATTTTAATGAGCCAATGAATCAGTTATTGGAATTTGACTCCGCCAAATATCGGAACGTAAACTATGTCCCAAATGTGACGGAGCAAAAAGAGCACCGAGCGCTTACCTTGAAATCATTTCCCGTCAAGTTCACTGATGAGTCAGTGCCATCTCGTTCCTCTTTGCGCTCCACTTCATTTCCATGAAAAGGTCCGTGCGGCGATGAAGAAATACCATCCCCAGACTCACGGCCGGTTCTGAAAGACGGCCTCTGCGCAACGCCGTCAGGAATCTCCCACTGCGCCGTGGCGAAGGGAAGTGCGCAAGATGCGACAGTGCTGCAGCTCACGGGTCGCCTCAGCCATATTGTCTCCTCTATTTCACCCTTCGCCTCTCCGTTCAAGTGCTGATGATCATGAGGACGCCAGGGGTCCAAATCAGTCAAATCCAAGTGCGGGGAGCCCAGGCGGTCCTCCTCCATCGGCGTCTCCCCCCGCCCCACCAAGGTCGTTTATTCTTAGGCTGTAGTGTGTCACTCACAGATCTGCAGATGAAGGAGAACATGTGACACATGCTGGATGTTGCATCAAACCAAAAATTTGGTTCAAAAGGTTCATCGTGATAAAAATAGGCGTGAGGGAGCTCTCGGCGGGAGGGCGTCCATCACGGACAAGTAAGTCTATTCACAATGTTGCTGATGAGGAAATAAACATGGGTCTGTGTATCGTTGCCGCTCATGTGACTGGCAGAGAGGTTGCGTAAGTGAGGGAAGCGCACGTCAAACTAAATTGAAACTAATGCGCTTACGTTACACTCGTATTCAGAATTGGATGTTGCAGAATTTGATTATACACGACAGAATACAACAATGAAGATGTGATGGAATTCAACTCCATTTTCACGGCCTTAAAAGAGACTTTTTTTTTTCCTCTTCACAGTATGAGAGCATTTTTGAGCGTTGTTTCTTTTCAAAGCTCCAATTTATGAAAACAAGTACTTTATAGAACTTACAGTAAAAATAATGTTTTACTTTTGTACCTACAATTCAGTCTGTTCTTTTTACCTCTTAATGATGAAGACATCAAATATTACTATCAGTCTTTTTTTTTTTTTGCACACATATATTTATTCTTCTATTCAAGTAAGAGTTTCACTATTCCAATCCAACGGATGTCATCAAAATGTCCAGCCTGAAAATGCCTTTCAGACTGATGACTTAGCCATCCCTCGGTTTTCCATCAAAGCCATTTTTTCCGTCAAGAACGCAAACAATTTACCACCTTGCCATGTTTTTTTTAAATTTTTTTTTTTAGGATTATCCAATTTTAGATTCACGGCCTCAGCTCAGCCTCTTTGCATCCTTACCCTTCCTATCTTTATGACATCAACATGAAAGATTTGTGATAACATATCTTACCTAAAACCATTTTGACATTGGGACACAAATCTCCTTGCACCTTATATGCAGCGAGAACTGCAAAAACTGCACCTCAATACCAGATGTCACGACTGTGGAGCCCCTGAAAATAGAGGTCCTCTCTCTAAAATATTGTGCAAATTTTACATCGTCGCTTTTATATAAATAGTACCTGGAGTACCTACCCACACGCCAAGTGTGAAATGCTGCTCCTGTTTCAAATCAGCTCGATATTTTTCTGAATTTCAACGCGCTATCTGACCTCAGTCCGAGCCGTGGAGATAAAAGTCAAAGCGGTGGCGTGTGTTGCGGGTCGGCAGCGGAACCGTCTGCGATTTGTTTTGAAACATCTTATCGCCACAGCGTGCGCTCGTACGGTCGCCGCCACGTGTGTTGTCGCCACAGAAGCAAGGGCATCTCTCGCCAAGGACGTCAACACAAAAACCGACTGGCGGCCGCCGTTCAATTTCATTTCTCCTGCAGCTTCCCCTTTATGACGCGCCTCCAAACCTCGCACAACCGACATCCGGGTGAAACCTCGACCGCGTTTCCTGTGTGCGTCCAAGTCTCACTTCCTGTCAGGGTGCACCAAGTGCTTTTGTTACACCACGCCAATGGCTGAGTCAGAAAAAAGAGAAGTAGGTGCACTTTAAATGTAGTTACAGCTCCTAATTGTCTCCCATAAGGTCAGAAGGAAAAATAAAAACATGAATATATATATATATATATATTTTTTTTTGTATACGTCTGAAATGAGGATAGCTAAGAGCGTCGTCTCGTTTGTCCAAAATATTTCTACCTCCTCCCGCCTCGCTCCTCTGTCATTCTGAAATGAGCCACTATCCGCGGGATCATGTAAAGTCACACAAGAATATCAAAGATTCTTCTCACTTTCACAGAGGTGTTAATTAAATTCTGCGTTTTGTTTTTATAGTAGTGATAGCGGTGTCGAACTGCACTGTGTCATACTGAGAGCTGTTTCTAATTTTCTGGCCACCTATTTTAGCCACACCTGTGGTACAAAACATAAGAAACGCCTCGACTGCAAATAATAAGAACACTAAATGTCTTTTCCTGCAAAAACACTTCATGAGAGCTAGTCTGACCAGCTCTGGAAGTTTCTAAGTACAATAGAAGCTTGGGATGACTGCTGACATACAATCAAGGAGAAGTCCAAATATTTTAACACACTGACAGCATTTCGGAAAACAAAAGAGGAACAACGGACACAACGAAAGCGGTCTCTATTGTATTCTTAACTATTATTACTCGTCTAACAATAGCCAGGAAACATCTCATGGAGTAGATTTTTTTTTTTTGGAAGATAAAGTGTGACTTACCACCCGGCGGGTCCATAAAAGCAGCATCATATGATCACCTGGCTTGTGAGCTTTTCATCTAGTGGGAGGAGAGAAGACATGGCCTTTTACATGCTTTCGCAGCGCAAGAACGCCAAATCGTTTTTTTTCTCTATTACCTGCTGGGAGCCACAAACTAGCTGCACGGCCGCTCTATGCGCCGAGCAGCATGTCAGCGGGGTGATGTCGCTCGCACGTGGCCCTCTCTTAGGGTTTCCTTTGCAGCCAGATGAGATCTCTTGTTTAGTCGCTGCAGATATGGCTGCCAGAAGTGGGGGGTTGAGGTGGAAAGAGAAGAGCGAGGAGGAGGGTGAAAGTTGCAAAGAGGAAGAAACGGCTGGTTGTGATTGGCAAATGACTTAGGCGAAAAGACACCTGAGAGGTTCAGTATACACCCACGGGGCCTGGAGGCATGCACACGCGCACACGCATGCACACTCACACACACACACACACACACACACACACACACACACACACCCACACACACCAGTTATAAGAACACACGCGAGCGCACACGTCAGGTGAGGGGAGTGGCTCATCTTCATTCCTTCAAACAACACTTGTTGTATTCACGATGTGGCAAAACCTGAAGGCGTCTGTCCAGATTCAAAGTAACAATGGAAACAGTCTTACCAGTCCCCTACATGAGTGTTTGCATGATAAATCATTGAAGCCCTAAATATTTTGGGTATATTTTTTTCAGTGCAAACCTACCACTAGGACCATCAAAACAATAAAACAAACAATCAAGCAACTACTTCTCTTAGGGCCAATGAAAAGATTAGTTTAACATGATAAAATTCAGAGTTTTTCTTCTTGGCAATATATTAAGACTTTATGCTGAACAACTTTTTTTTGGGGGGGGGCGGTGGGATCGGCAGACAGTTAGCTGGACTGCTCGATGGACCGACAGATACATAAACAAACAAACAATGAATCAGACAGAAAGACGGATAGATATGCCTCGGCAGCAAAATGTACACAGTGACTCGTAATAATAATAAATAAGTACAACGCTAGCTTCTTTAAATGTGTCTGGGCAGGTGTTTTTAAATTTAACATGCATAAATATAACGCCTTTAGTATGACATAAACACTATTTAACTCCCCTTTTGACCACTCTCGATATTTCGTTTGGGGTTAGACTTCCTCAAGGTCGATAATAGACTTCATTTTTGACATCAGTAACATCACATTTATGGACATTATGTAATTAATACAATTTCTTTACCAGTAGCGATACAAGTGATAACATAGGCACATTCCAAAAGTGACCTTACTTCATTCCTTAGCATCAGCATCATTAGCATTATTAGCATCGATATTAAATATATTAGCATTACCTAGCATTTACGTGGGCATTATTGCGTTTGGAGTGATCTTAGTCGTCGGCTTCTGAGGTTACGTTGTAATGTCGAGAACGGCGACGTACATGAGCGATACTATGGGACACAATTTTTCTATCTGAACAACGATTTGCAGCATGCTTTTTAATAGTGGTGTGTGACACCATAAAAAATGTTAGCATCTACGACGTGGCAAGTCTGGTCGTTCTCCGTCGAGACCTCTAGGGGGTGCGCTGGAGCTTCGCAATGGCTCGAGAGCTGACGAACTGATACCGCCTGGTCTGCGTTACGTCACTTTGGCGCGACCTTGACTCATTATTTTCGGCCCGAATTTTCATGAAGCAAAATTAAAATTTATTTTTACACAAAAATCAAAGTATTAATATTGCTTACATTGATTTATTGTACAGTGCAATGTTTGAGATGAAGAATTTGTATTTTAACGTGTTTTTCCCAAAACTGGAATGTCACACGAAATATACACTTTGGCATATTGTAGTTAAGTTTATTAAAGACAGTTAAATCTCAGCATTCAAAATGGACCGTCAAACAAAGGCAACGGTTTCAAGTGTGAGTTGGGGTTCTGTTGGCTTCCTGTTTAGAATCAAGGTCAAGGTCTGCCATTCTCTCCTCATTGTTCCTTCTATCATCCTTCCTTCTTTCCTTTCATGTCACCCTTGTATGCTTCATACCTTCTTTTCTGCCTTTCATACATTCTTGTTTCTCTCTATCCATCCTTCCTAACTACCTTGCATACTTTCTCACTCCTATCATTCTTCCTTCTTTCCCCTCTTTGATACTAGCCCTCCTTAATTTGAAAAGTGTACAGTCAACCTACTTTTGGCCCACGCTATTGTATAATTTTGACGAGTACCTCTCAGCAAGATTTATAAAAAAAAAAAAAAAAAAACATTCTGCTTTTTTGTAATTATTGTACAGGGTATCTTTTAATAATCCAAATTGTATATGCAGTAAATCCACTAAAACATAATGCAGACTTTTTTCGGGCAGCTGTCTCCCAACTATTTTCACACTGTAGAAGCTACTGGAGGGGTGTGGCATTGGCCTGGTAGCAGCCGGGACATCCGACTTTCTCCTTAGACAAGTAGAGCATGGGCTGGATGCTACTACTGAAGTCCATCAGACCAAAGGCGACGTAATGGATGTAACAGCGGAAGACGTTGGGTGAGAAGTAGTCCTGAAAGGGGAAGAGCGCCACCGGCGGGAAATAGTTGAAGACGATGATGGCGAGGATTATGAGCACCATCTTGAAGGCTCGCTTCTTCACCGGGTGCATTTCGTCCCGGCCGGGCCCGGACTTGCGCAGCACTAACAGGATGGCGATGTTGCAGAACACCATGAAGGCGAAGGTGGCCAGGATCATGGCGGTGAAGACCTTCTCCAAATGGACGATGGGGCCCACGTGAATAAAGAAAAAGAAATCATTAATTCAGCTAATTTCCCACTTGGGGATCAACAAAGAATATTTCACACATATACATACATACACACACACTTATATAGTATTATGTAAGACCTTCTCAAAGTTGACGATGTGACCCACACACTTGGCGGCGGCATAAGCCAGCGTGACGAGCCACACCAGCACAGCCAGGCCGGCCCGGTGGTGGCGGTCCTTGAGCTCGGTGAAGGTGACAGGGTGCACCACGGCCACATAGCGGTCCAGGCAAATGCAGGAGAGGAAGAGCGGCGATGAGTCTTTCATCCCGTAGAAGAAGCGCAGCACATACCAGGTGCTGCTGGTGGTGAGGAACACAATGTTGGCCAGCTCCAATGGCGGGATGAGACAGAAAAGCACATCCAGGATGGCCAGTTGCAGGATGAAGATGTCCGACGTGGATGAATCGCCCTTGTTTTTGTGGATGAGCCACAGGACCATGATATTTGCAGGGATTCCCAGGAACATGTTGATGAACTGCAGGCACAGGTACCAGATGAGCACAGCCGGCATATCGCGGCAGCCCTCGTATACCGTGTGCTCCCACGCTGAGGCGTTAAAGGGCTGCTGAGAGATGAACAGCGCCGACGAGTTGAGGAAGTGGAAACCCATGGGGAGGGGTAGGGCTGGGCAAAGATATGAAAAATAATAATTACAGTTATTTTGATGGATATTGAAATCACGATGAATAACCTCGATGAGTCAATGATTTGTATTTATTCAACGACCAAAACTCAACTAGAAATGCAACTTGAAAGAACATTCAGAAAATAAATTAGTAGCCAAAATAATAAGATAAGAAAACATTTTTGTCTCACAATTGAGAAATTCGCAATCTACAGCAGCAAAATTTGGAGGGAAGTAGAAAAAAAAACATGAAGTATTTGCATGCACAAAATAACTTTTAAAAATGTTATTATAAATAAAAAGAATGCAAAATAAAATAACATAGAAAAATAAAATAATAGCAATCTCTTACGTGCTCTAGTTAAGAGCAGCATGATCAATGACTGGTATGTATTAAAAAAACTTACCTCCAATTAATGTTGAGTGATCCCTTCAGTGCCTCGTTGCTGTACAAACACGTAGCTTCCTCTTTATAGTTTTAGTCAAATCTTGTGAGCATGGGCAGTCGCAGTTCTCATAGTAGTCGGCGGTACCTGGCACTTTGTGACTTGCTGGCAAGACTTGTTCGTGATATATGTCTGACGCATCATCAGCCAATAAACCAGTGGCAATATGCGAGGGCGGAATGCTCATTATAAAAATATAACTGGACTCGCACTGTGTGATCACTGTTTGTGATCGTTATCACTGACATCCGATTATAAGTGCGAGAAAAAAAAAAAAAACGTGTCAAATTTTCCACTGAGTGATATGAGGAGGAAGTATTCAGAAAATTACGAGAAAATAGATTGATAATAAAATTATTTCATGAAAAAAAAACCCACGACAAATATACACTACAAATTAAAATGTACCTAAATGAGTTAAAGGACTTAGCAACATTCCGTTACGAATGCAAAGATAAAATAAAAAATCCACTTACCTATTCAATGAGTTGGCAAATCAAACTGAGGCTTCTGTATCCTGATCTTGAGCCTCAACAAATGAAGTCCACCACTTTAGGGATCCTATTCCCATCCCATCATCCAATCAGAGAATCAGAAACCTGCCAACATGTCTCTTTGGGGCCCTTGTGCACACACCCTTGCAAAGAAATATACACACACACACACACACACACACACACACAAAACAATATCACTAGTTTAAAATAATGACACTTGAGTGAACGTGTGTGAAAAATTAGTCCAAAAAAAAAAAAAATTGATTAGAGTGGTGAGGTTTGGTGAGGCGCGGAAGGTCCGCTTGGCCGACGTGTCGTGGCAAGCCGTCATCCATTCGACACCGATTGGCAATGATGCAACCAAGCAATGCGGGGCCTGACGGAAAATTGACGGCGGTAAACAACTGATGCAACCTTGCATGAAATCGCTCATGATTCAATTCACCGTAACACTTTGGTGAGTGTTACCCCGGGCTAACATGTTTGATTTAGATTTTTAATGGTCGCCGTATACAGCAGGATGCTCATGGGATGATCTTGTCTGGAAATTTATGCCACAGCCCCCCTCACACATTAAAAAAAAAAAAAAAAATCATGCTTAACCAATGCTTAACAATTTGTGGTCAAATATCCGTTGCTTTAATTGTTGTAAAACTGCAACCATCGACGCAAACCGTGAGCATGTCAAGGAAAGTATGTTAGCATAAAGCTTACGCTTCCTCAGCACTGCGTCAGTTAATCACGCAAACATACAAGCGGTCCGCGTGTGTCTCCGCTTGGAAATGTGAGCTGGGTTTGTTTACCTTTGGCATCTGTCTTCGGAAATTACTGTCGGTCTCCCTGCAGGTAGCTGTCCTATGAAAAGGGCAGTTACAATGGCACGCAAACAGACAATTTCACGTTCGGCAGATTGAAGACAAACAGTCCACTCTACACACATCGACCATATAACTATGCAGTTATATATTCTTTATCATCTGTGACGAGGGACTAATATTAGTGCTGTACTGATGAGATGAGAGGAGTGGAGTTGAGATGTTTCAATGAGCAGTATATCCATCTGTCTGCCTTATACTGCACTCAGGTGAGCGAGTCACTACTGTAAACGTGTTGGAAACTATAAATATGACATATTACAGGATATGTAGTACTGTGATATGATTGTACTATTGTATTGGTATAGCAGTGGTTTAATTTAGCATAAAAGTATGAATTGTAACATGCTTACAAGAGATGTGTTTTCCTACAATGAACCCATTTTTACAATTTCAAACCTCATTCTTCACTTTAAGTCAGACATTTTTTTTTTCCATTGATGTGACACCAACATACTAATTTTAAACGTAGGAAGTAAACATTGTCTTGGACGATAAGCTGTAGCTATTTTTTCCCCTTCCTCTCGCGGGTGAGAAAAAAAAAATGCAAGGATGCCTTATGACCCTGGTTGCTCGTATTTATTGTTTTACATGTCATTCATAGTTGAAGTACTTGTGATAAAAGGAGGGGGGCAGTTTCACTCACATTATGTACTTGAAGCAGACCCCCCCCCAAAAAAAAAAAAAACAACTAAACATTCAACGCTAGATAACTATGTTATCTGCAGACATCCCAGAAGTACCATACATTTCTCGTATACACTTACAGCTTATTATTATTGTTTTACTGCCAGAAACAAACGTATTCGCTAAATAGTTTCTGTGTAAAAGTATTGGAGGGCTACATGTTTAGCTACACTTCTTCAGAGGATCAATATGGTGGGCCATGCAGTCACATAGAGGACAAAAACAGTCAATTTTGCATCATGGAAATAGCCAAAGGGTGTTTTGAAACATTTTCCAAACAAGTAAATCCTTCTTCCGCTTTCCTCAGCGAGCAAATTTTCCATTTTTTTTTCCTCCTCTGGACCGACCTCACGTCGGCTTGAAGGCTGACTTCCCGCCACCTCCATCATCACGTCACAAAAACAACACATCGCACATGCTACTTCAATATAAAAACCTTTTGTGTTTAAAAAAAAAAACAAAAAAAAAAAACAAAACACTCCAACCAGAGTCAATGTAGAATTTGTGTCTTAGAGGGAATATTGAAAAGGAAACAAAGGGTAAACTTTCTGTTTCAGAGGAAGGGACCGAACGTAAAAGAAAATGTAAACAAAAGGTGTTGGTGACGGTTTGCATGGAAGAATGTGTGGTTTTAACAGTAATCGGACTGAAGCACTAAGTACTGTCGTGCCTTGAGATAAAAGTTTAATCCATTCCGCGAACACAGTAGTAACTCAAATCATCGCTTCCTAATGAAATGAATGTGTTTTTTCCATTCCAGACCCCCGTCTATAACATTGTACGATAGTAGCACATGATCATTAAATATGATCTAAAAAAAAAACATTAATTAAGCGGGGGGAAATTCATCAAGCAACATAGTTTGTGTTTTAAATTCACAATGTGTAATTTGCCTTTGTTTTATGTTTACTTTGACAGTAAGGAATTTTGGCAGAATGGCAGCTTGTGTCACCAAAAACTCACAGCGGGTCACCTGTCTCTCAAGGCACCACTGTCTGTGGAATTGATACATCTGGACTAAAATGGAAGCTTTGTATGTTAAGGGAGGAGCTAAGTTTAGCCTGGGTTGTTAGTGGAAGTTGCAGATTTTTTTTTTTTTTTTTGCTGCCTGTGCGTGTATATGCACACTTCTGGTGCATTTGTTCAAAATGAAACCGTCTTTAATCCACTTGATTTCGTAAGGCAAGTTTGAAATGGGATTTTAAGTATTTGGGGATCATAGTTTCTGGTATATTTGCAGTCTGGACTATCAATATGGGCTATTAGAAACTGGGCGGGATGGCTCGACTGTCAAGAAAATGAAGAGGTTGGGTGTCCAGTGCCTTGGAGTGCTTCTGCCTCTCGGAGTGCACAATTAGCTTGTGGAGTGAAGACGTTACAAGTTGCAGTCAAGGGGTTTTGGAAAAAGGTGCATGGCTGCCACAAAGGGTCAGTCGGGTAAACAAACGGCGTCAGTCTTATGAATCCGACCTACTGCGTAAAGGTCAGATGAAGGTGGAGTCCATGGTGCTGGTGTCCTGGACGCTGCGGGAACGTGCATCAAACAGCTGCTTGATCAGCGCCGACTTCTCCTGCTCCAGCTGGGCGATGCGCTCGCTCTTCTCGGTCACCTCCTTTGTGTGGGAGGAGGACAAGGATGAGGAAAGAAGGATAGAAAATCCCCAAAATGAAAACAGCAATGCAGTATTGGGAGGAATGGACTTGGGGGGGGGGGACGAACCTGTGTGAGGAGTCTGTTCTGGTCCTTCAGTCTCAGGATGGCTTGTGGTGGAGCAGGAAGCGGTGGCTGCGAGGTCGGGGAGAGTGCTCCCATCTGCCCGCCACCGGAAGGGAAGGACGACTGGGAAAATGCAAAAAAACAAAAATTTGAAAAATTAAAAAAATTAGGTCAGGAAACTATAAAGTAGGTTTGATGTCGTACAGCAATGGTAAATGTGATGTGAGACAGTTTGATTCTCACCATTCCAGTGCAGCAAATAAGGTCATTGAGGCACCGGTTGACTTCCTGTAGTTTGGGAATAAGAATGTTGATGCGACTCTGGTTGGCTTCAGTGAAAAAGTCCTAAAAAAACACACACATATACAAAAAAAAACAAAAAAACCACTTATACTCCCTGTAGGGTGTGCAATGGAGGTTTTGGATTATGCTGAATCTTGACTGACCGTGCATTGGGAGTTCTGCCCGACCTGCCGCTGCCTCTCGGTGACATTGTGGATCTGGCCCTGGTACCAGTCTCGGGCACGCTCCACCACCTCCAGGCCCGCCAGTAAGGAGTCCTTCTCCTGCTCCAGCTCCTTCATTTGCTTCAGCTGGAAAACAAGAAAGGAGCTTTTTTTTTTTAGGAAGCTTCAAAGAGCGCAAACGCCATGTGGTCGACACAACTTGAAAGCGAGCTCTTTTGTGCGGAAGGCGCAGACACAAAGACGCAGAGTCCAACTGAATCCTGAACAATGTCGAGAGGAGCTATCGGTCCAGCGTCATGGCAACCGCGCAACAACCTAAGAATGGAGTAAATAGCCAGCGCCTCAATGATGGCCACCGCTCTATGTCTATGAGAGTTGTGCTGACCTGGCTGTCCGTGCTGCACAATCCTGGCCTCATCGTTGGCATTTAGCCACCCTGCCGGACCCCCCCCCCCCCCCCCCCCCCCCCCCCCATTCCCCATGTGTCCCTTACATGGTTCCATCCCTCCATCCCATGTATAAACAACGACATTAGAGCAGGTTGAACTCATTCGTGTCTAAATAAGGCAGACAAGTGAGTGCGTTGATGGAAAAATGAGGGAGCGGTGTCAATGAAGAGCGGTGGAGGGTTGAAAGTAGCGTGTGTAGCCCAGCTGGCGCACAAATACTTCACACACCGTAAGAGCACAACAGTTGCACAGGCTGCTCGACACAAAGGATGAAAGGGCGACAACACAACAGTGGGTCAAAGGCAATCAACAATCGCAGAAAACAACGGTGGCGGAAGGATTATTAGAGGCGGGGGGGATATCTTAAACATGCTTCTAAAAGGCAAGAACTTTTTGTCCCATCCAGCAGGTATCGTGTCACCAAGTACTCATGGGAAAAAAAATCCTAACTTAGCTATCCAAGTACTACAAAAATGACCAGCCTTAAAATACACAAATTATATACAGTCATGTAGTAGGCCAAAATGTTCATGAAAAATAAGTTGGTTTTTTTTCCATAATATAAAACCGGTTCCATCGCTCCAAAATCCACAATACTAAACTCCTCACCGAGAAGTTGCAACTCAACACTTCCACCTCCCCCAACTCACCCACAAGAAAAAGTGCAGGGCCTTGCCGCTGTACAGGCTGCTGCTGAGGGGGATGAACACGGTGGTGTACGCGGCCCACACCGCCGTCCAGGCCGGGCCGGCTTCCTCCACGTCCACCGGGCCCCTGAACCCGACCCGGCTCGCTACCATCGGGGCAGCAGTGTCGGCCTCGGTGGGAGGGACACAGGCAAGGGGGAGGAGGAGGAGGAGGAAAATGGTGGAAGGCAAGGGGGGGAGAGAAGCGGAGAGGAGGCAGGCATTGAGCTCCGGAGGGGAGGGTGGGAGTTGCACCGTGACAGGGGGGGAGGGACAGGGGCCATCGGGGTAGCCAATAGGAGGTGAAATGCAACTTTTCTGTTGTTGTTCTATTCTCTCCACGAGTGACACGAGTTTGTGACTCAACAACATGTACTGTACAATCCATCTGTTCCCTTTTTGCGGAATAGCATCATAGGTGAGCTGGGGCCTATCCAAGCTGATTTTTTGTTTTTTTGTGGGGGGGGGGCACTAGAAATGAACGACTCCTCATACGCATCTGATGAGTTCAATGCGAAGGTCACGCTGTGTGTTAAAAAGCCACGTGACAGGTTTGAAGGCCGTTTTGGAGCGGCACACCGACCATTTCGTAGTCCACTCCGTTGGTGATCGTGTGGCGCCTCTGCTCCTCCCGACCGCGGCTGTGTCGCCTGGAGCCTCCGCTGAAGCCCGTCGCAGACTCGCTTTGGGATCTGGGCAAAGTGGATTTGGGAATACCTGCGCACATGTGGAAGCGATGATTGGTTATTCGTGTGGCAAGATGGGACAATATTTGATATTGAAAAAAAAAAAAAAAACAGGAGTCACGCAACGTTGCCAGTGGTTACCACACGAGGGCGCCATTCAAAATGGAGTCACATGGCCAAAGTGGAATGTTGCTGAAAACATGCAACTTTCTTCTCATAATGTTTCAATAGTAATCTCAAAAGCATGGAATTTAAGGGCGAAAATATCCGACTTTTTTACTTTACCCCTATTCTCTGGAAAAAAAACGGGGTGGGGGGTGGAACATGTCTTTACGCACAAAATGATGAATTTAATCTCTCAGTGTCATTGTTTTTTTTTCTCTTCCTTTCAGTGTGGCCTTAATAATCCTTTGTAAAATACACAGCAAGACAAAGGCTTAATAAATAGTCGGAGTAGTCAACGTTGAAAATCTTTTCGACCCAATGTTTTCGACCGAAGGTTTTTTTGAGACTACAATGAGTAAAAACGTGTGCAGTAGTTCGATACGGTTAAGTATGGTTGTTTTGCTAGGGCTGCTACTATGTTAAATGTCCAACCTCCAGGAGAATGTGAACTTCTGGCAGAAATTTTTGGTGGGAGATTTCACAGCTGTCACGCTTTTGGCGAGGCCTGACCAGCGTCCTGTAATCTGGCCTAATCCTACTGAGTTTGGCAGCATGTATGAGATTACGGCACGGACAAGAGCTGCTCTGTCGGTCCACACTGGGACTGGACTAGAGGGAATGATAGCTTTTACTATACCAACTCACCTGTCATTTTTTTTATTTGTCACCTTGTTGTACGAACATTTTTCTGCTCCACAGATCGTAAAATCCTCTGTAAATTGGAAGACGAGCTGTGCCAAAAACACCTGATATGCGATTAATCGATGAAGTTGCCTCGAGGCAGGAAAGTCGACATAGCGACGACTGGACTCATTGGTTTAACCCCTAGTTGTTACTTGACATTTGTTTTTATTGTGTGCATGACTGGACATTTTGGTCTCAATTTGACAGAAATGCACAAACGCCGCTGCACAAAACCAGCCAACTCTACACTCTCATTTGCTGACACCCACATCACTCACCAGGTTAGGGCCCACCCTTTAAAGCTAGATACGTTCTGCTGATCCACGGGATAATCAATAGGATACTTTTAAATAAAACAATCCTCAGTGTTAATCTTTTTTTAAAAAGTGCAAACTCAATTATGTGAAATGCAATTGAAAACATCGTATATCATAGCATAACACAAAAGAAGCTATAGTGCAGTTTTGCGCACTTGCGTTTTTGTGAAGAGTCAAATGCAGCACAAGCCTGAACCGGTGCGTGCTGCCGGGTGGAAAGATCTCTCCAAACTTTTCAAACGAGTAAAGTAAGTTAACAGGGAGTGAGGGAGTGTCACCCTCGAGGCTGGCTGTGCGGCGATCAGACTTAACCCAGAGAGACTCATCAGTGGGTTGAGCGTGTGTGACAGCCAGCCAGCATGGTTGTGAGAGCGACTCGAGGAGACGTACGAGTGAGATAATGAGCTAGCAGGACTCCTAGAGCGTTACTTCTCGCACACCGGGGGAGAATTGATCGTCGGCAATCACGCAGAGCGAAGGCCATGGCACCAAAGGATGGCACATGACCCAGCCTGGCTTGAACGACACTAATAACTGAATGAATTACAACAAGCTGAACATGAGTCCCTTGAATAGCACGCAAGACACTTGAGAAGCACGTTGTCAAAACAATAAACAGGGACCGGTAATCTGCCATTCGCTGACGATATATACAGTTTAATGCCCTTGTGACCAAGACAGATGACGCTTCATATATAATCTTGGAGGGATATTTGGCACGGATCTGGTGTATTGCCAGGTAAAAGGCAATTTTGCAGGATTTTACAGTTTTACTGTTGATGCACCGACCCATAGGCCACAGCAGGGCAAATCAAAGATTAAAAACGGAATTTGGGATGAAATGATTTAAATTTCATTTCAATTGAAATGGGAAAAGATGATTTGAGGAAAATGTATGCCAGTGATCAGGAATTCGAGCATCTCTGCCCAAATTTGAGACAACGAAACTTCTGCTTACCGAGTACAGTGGACCCTTGCATACTTGGGTGTCCCCATATTTGGGTCTTCGTTGATTTATATTTTTACATTTTGTTTTGGGGGAACCCATTTTCTAATTTCACTTCCACCAAATCATTCATTCATAATAGCTTTGGGTTGCACATACTTGCTTGGAGCTGGGGTGACTCCAGGGCCAGCGACTCGATCGATCTCACCCGGCTCTGCTGATGCTGGGGTGGCTTTGAGACGTGACCCGGCTCCACCCTGTAAGACCCGCCGGCTTCCTGAGGGGCCGGGATCCGCTCAAGACTCCGACCGGGTCTCTCATAGCCCGCACCATACCTGGCCGGTCCGCATACCGGGTGGCCGGCCCCCTCCTCCGGCCTGGGCCGACTCATCAGGGAGGACGCCCGGTGCGGCTGAATGTTGGTCACGTTGCTCGGCCCCAACGGGCGGACCTTTTTCTCCACCCGGGTGCACGCGGACCGCGGGGCGGGCTGCGGAGGGACAGCCGCCTGTGCCTTCAGCTGACAGCGATTCTCCGGGTTAAGCATCGAGTAGCGAAGCCCCGCCACGAAGCGCTCGAACGTGAGGCAGCCGTGCGGAGGGGTGACCCGGCGGAGGCAGCTCAACACCCCGCCGGGTAGCTCCCGAGTGTCGGCGCCCTGCCAGCGGCTCTCGATCTCGGATATATGGACGTAACCGCGACCGGCGTCGTCCAGGATGTCAAAAAGGGTCCGCAAACTGTGAAGAAACGCTTTGGGTAGTCCGTCCGTGGAATAGTCTCCATCTTTGGGTTGGGATTTCCCGTGAAAGGCGTCTTTCCTGGACCCAACCGGGGCATAAATTGCCGGTGCTACGCTCATTTTACTGCCTTGCTCCGTGGCTATCAAAGCCATGATTCCAGTCGTCCGAGTCGAGTACTTCCAGTTAGCATAAACCACCACGAGCCGGACAACTTTTTCCTAGCTTTAAAGAATAACTAACCGAAACACGCAATTTAACTTAAACTACAACGCTTATTTTTCTGAGATAGTTATAAGGCTTGGGAGTCATGTTTTAGTCCCGCGTTGGCTCGTGTAACTTCACTTTTTAATCGTCCACACTCCACTTCTCCTTGTGTTGAGTCCAGCACCGCCCTTCAAACGTATGTGCGCGAGGGCTTCCTGCCCGCCGATTGGTCGAGGCGTGCCACAGCCGAGCGCTGATTGGTGGAAAGCGGAGGTAAACTTCAGTTTGAGTTGCTTTGTGTGCATTACTCATACTCATGAGTGGGACGTTATTTATATTGGGGCTTTTTTCCCCCTCTATATGATTTGAAAAATGCAGCTAGTATTAAAGAGAGAGAAGAAGCCGAGTTTTCTCCACGACGTCCTCCCACATTCCAAAAGCCCCCCTCTATATGATTTGAAAAATGGAGCTAGTGTTAAAGAGAGAGAAGAAGCCGAGAGTTTTCTCCACGACGTCCTCCCACATTCCAAAAGGGTACATACTGGACACTTTGCAATGACGTTCATGTCATGACAATTTTTTGCTGTTGCATTCACCTTGAAGGAGTGAACCGTCTGAAAATATTTCTTCTCCACCTTCCCGAATCAGTTACTGTGTATCGTCCCAACCTGTTGGGGCTTGAACAGTCGCTTCCATCTGTTTTGCAAACGTCCCAGAGTGACTCATACTGGAACAGTGAATTCCCTATCATATAAACCCGGCCCACTTCTGCCTGATCAGACCATATTGGAATCGTCCAACAATGTGGATGCGATGCCCCAAGGATGACAACCAACAGTTGCCTTCACATAATCAATCATGGGCTGATTATTCTTGTCAACAAATAAAATGGGTGAGCATCGATTGTAGCCCGTGGGCTGCGTATGCAGTGGTGATCAAATAGAGCAAGGGGCGAACATGCTACCCCCTTGTTCATCACGCTGCTTGTGGTAGCTGGGTATTGCAGAAATGTTGTAAATAGGGTTTGCATTGGGCTGGCTGAGCGCGTGAGCCGCCGTTATATAACCCAAAGAAAGTGAGTGACAGAAAGAGAAGGGAGGTCACGGCGAGATGGCTCGACTCCCGACACTTGTCCGCGCTTTCCTCTTCTGCTGTCATGCCCATGCACACAGACTCATGGGCTAATAGGGTGAAGGGATCGTGGGCATTTGAGCTTTCTTTTCTTTTTTTTTTTTTCGAGCCAAAGTGACAGTGGAATAACATTGAGTAACTGCAGTGGGAGGATGCGCACACACGCAGCTGCACTCGAGAGGCAATAAATAACACTGAAGATACAGCCGAAACATTTCCTTTTTTTTTTTTTCTAATTTGGATTTGGAAACAGTGTTTTAGTCACGGCACTGCTGTGAGCTTGCATTGCCAGCGCAGAGAATTAGCGATTGAGCATGTTCTTGGGGCATTAAAGCTTGACCTTTGATCACTGCGTTCACTTATCATGCAAGGCACTATTGTTGGAAGGAGCAGTACAAGTGGTGGTTTAGCTTGAAGTGGTAGGCCGGATTTGAGCTTTTTTTTTTTCACCACACCTGATCAAATTTAGGAACATGCCTCAAGTCGGAGGGTGATGTCCATAAATACAATCAAGCATTTTCACCCAACCTCCCAATAATGTGACAGGTAATCCCAGCAGAGTCTCATGGTTGAGCATCCGCTGAGTGACACTGCTGTCTAAAATGTATTACAGAGCCAACACCCCCCCCCAAAAAAAAATTAATACCAGATCATAGGCTTAATATCTGATGCCAAAAAAAAAAGAGCAACACAAAACCCTGACTTGCAGTGTCTCTTTTTATCCTCATATTAATGATGGTACAAAGGGAGAAAGCACTTTTTGTGCACGTAAATATGACAAATTATATTTCCGATGTGAAAACAGTACTGGGAGGTAGACCAGCTTCCCAGAACAGACAGGCTCCACTGTATAACATTGTTCGTTTTAACCCTTTCAGGGACAGCAGTTACTACAGTGGGCAGCTTATCATGTTATCAGGTTCCAAGCTGCATGAAAGGGTTAAAAGATTTTAATCCATCACATCGCCATATTTTGTCTTCCCACTCCCCGATGGTTCCTCTGCTTTCAACACTACAAGACAAAGATAAACATAAGGTTTGCGTTCGCAAATCAAAGCAAAAATTTAAAAAAAAGAAAAAAACGACAACAACAAAACCATCGAAATGACGATCATTTCGATCACTGGTACCTAAAGGTACCACAACAGTAAATGTCTCCTCTGTTTGTTAATCCAGTCCTACGTACATACTGTACAGCACTTTCAGCCAGGGACTTACTTTGTGGCTGCAACCTATCCGGGACTTTGCCAGTTTCAAGTAGCAACCAGAGGTCGGAGCATTTCTGCGTTTCCCAACGTGTCACAGCGTAGCTACCTACCGATGACCCCACTGAGAGAGAGAAGAGATGGAGACTTTTTAGAAAGCAGGGGGTGTGTGAGGGGTTACATATTGACTTCTCACCGATGGAAACAAGCAAATTCCACTGCAAGGGATAAGCAAGTCTCTTTTGTAGAATCTTCTGCAGAGCAAAAAGGCCAACAGCACCTGTAAGAGAAGGTCAAAATGATATCCAACAACTATGATAACATGGCACAGGCTCACGGGTAGTGAACGATTTTTTTAGATTCAAGTAAAAGCTGTAGCCTGACATTCTGACAATCGAACAATACTTGCAGGGATTCATTTTTTTATCCTCTGCTAAAAAACACTAATATTATATTGTCTGTATGTCTTTGTTATACTGCCCACTGGTGGCCAAAGTAAGCACAACGTAGGGCTGGAGTGGCATTTCTGTTCATTTTCAATTGGGAAAGAATATATGTATTTTGGCTCAAAATGGTGTTCTTAAAAAGATGAAATGCACAAAATTAATTACTCAGAGATGGAGCAAATACGTATGACCCAGTACTTTGGTCCACATCTTCTAACACACATGCCTGAGGGTTCTTCGTCCTCATGTGGTAGCTACTAGATTTATCTTGGAAATTATTTATCTCCTATTTAGTGGAGGTTTTCAACAGGACAGTGCAAAACTGCAATGGAAAAAAAATCCAAGTTGGTAAAATAAGTAAAAATTACAATAAAATTCATAAATTAAAAAACACGCACCAAGAATAAAGGTTCCAGTCCCCTTCATGAAGGCGTGAGACTGACAGGCGGCATACCTTTCTAAGCCCTGAAAGACAAAATTACTTAAAATGAAGGACGATAATGTCATATTTTCATTTATATTTTATATTACACACGAGTGTTATCGTGAGTGTATAATGATGCAAAAGGCAAAACACGTCACGCTAAATTGTAAACGCTCACCGGGTGTTTCGCCACCAGCTCGTCGTCCACTCGAGTGAGACCAAGATTGACCATTTCGTATATTACAATCTGAGTTTTAATGCTATTTCACGGATAGTAACATTGGATTTTGTTGACATTACCAGTACCCGGATGCCGTCGGAGACTTACAAAACAGAGTACGAGGTTGTGCGAAAACTAGGGCGACGCTGACAGATCGGCGGTGGAACTGCACCTCTTGGCGCATCAAATTAACTTTTCTTCGCTTTTAAATACGATGGGTCGTATTATGGTAATGTGACATTTTATCGGTCGTACGTTTTAGAATATTTGGGTCTCTATTGTTTGAATCGGGTATGTTGGAGGAGGGAGACATCTAAAACATAGAGGACATCCCTGGCAGACCGTGGGTGGTTGTTAATTAGCCCCACTGTGACATCATAGTGGGGCAGAGAGGTTTTCAGAACAAAGCTGATAACTCAAGATTTATTAGCTCGCTCAATTTCACACTTGATCAAGTGAAACGCTCCATAAAATGTCAACGGATAGAAATAAAACAGATAATTGGAAGAGCCTCATTTTGTTCATTTTTTTTTATTTGAGCATCATTTTACATAGGAAAAGCAACTGTTATCGCCCGACTGTAGTCACATATTGTAGCTCTTAATTTCTAAGTGATTCATGTTCATTTTCCTACAAAAAAAAAAAAAAAAGAGCGCAGGGTGATAGTTGAAATCACACCCTGTCTAGGACAAACGCGCTAACAAGGGACCGGGCTTTTAACGCAGTGGTGAAAACCCGTTCACGCACACTTACAAAATACACAATCAATGAGTCGCATGTCAACGTGGGACACATGCTCCAAGTGTCTGGACTCATCAGAGAAGACATACTAAGCATGTGCATTGTGGGTGAAGGCGCAAGTCAAAAAGTCGACACACAACAAAACGAGGAGGTGGTTCACTTTGTAAAAAAAAAAAAAAAAAAATCTCCAAAAGCAAACAGGAGGGGCGGGGGTTCAAGTTTTTCAACGTTGTGGAAGATTTCAGTGAACAGTGTTTTTTTTTGTGGAGGAAACCTGGAAGGGGTGCGAAAAAAAAAAACAATTAAGTAGTGCCTCGCTCTAACACGATTTCAAAGTAAAGAAAAAGCTGAAAACCGTCCTATACTGTCTGTCCACTTCAGTTTGCCTTCAAATATCACCACCACAAAAAAAAAAGTTTCACAAATACTTTAAATAAATAGAGCTCCATTGATAGAATTCCCCCCCCTCCCCTTCCCCGAAAAAAACAGACACACATACACACGCAACAATACCAATGGAAGGACTTAAGTCATGAAAAACAGTGCCGTCATCATTTTAATCGAGTATTGTTTTCTTGTCATTAATTAGCGATGCCAAAAGTACCAAACGGTCACTTTCCATTGAAAAGCATCAATCTCCACAAAGCTAGTTTCAGATAAACAGAAAAAAAATGTCTTTTTAATCAGATAACCCAAAAATATATATATTAATAATAACAAAAAAATTTAAAGGAGGGTGTTCCAAAAATTCCGACATCATTTTGTGGTGTACTAACAGGCATTTCTCGCTCAAATGATCTGAATTTAAAGATGTTCAAAAACGTTTAACTTCAATGACATTCACTAGCATTGAAAAGACCTTCGTGAATCAGAATGTGCAGTGAGCAATTCACAGGAAATTCAATAAAAAACAAACAAAAAAATTAACTGACAGCAGATTTAGACCCCCCAAAAATTAAAGACAAAAAAAAAGTGGAACGCAAAACGGAAGACGTGGCATGTCACAGGAGGAGTGCATACTGAACATCTGTTCTCAAGTCGATAGTTTGAACGTATCGTTGAAATTGTAATATTTACTTCACATCACTAGCCTAACGGCATAATTGGCCAAGTCATGTTTAACTGTCATTAAATCAATAAAAAAGTACCAGTGAGCTTCCTAAAACTTTTGCCTTGTGCAGTCTTAAGTCAAGGGAAGTGGACTGATGTTTGCTAAATTTGTTTTTTTTTTCTGGTTGTCTGAAAACATGGGGGAAAAAAAGAAAAAAAGACTATGCTATGACGCGCAGATGTCAACTTTTTCGGAACACCCAGCTTTACAAACATATTCTTCAAAAATATTCAACAGAGATGTTCATAAATAGTGGAGAGATACACAAAGGTGAGTTCAATGGTTGAAATTTGTACCGCTGTCTGCAAAAACAAATGATGAAAATAAAAGCCACAATTCGGCAGCTACTTTATTACAAAACAGTGAAAATGTCTAATTAGACTGAATATAAAATTAAATTGGAATATGGCCCCTTTTGGAAGATATGTGCGCGCGCGGGCGCACACAGACACACACACACACACACACACACTGAGTCCTTGGCAGAACATACAACGCACGCGCACAAAATACTGTTAGTGTGATCCAATCCGAACAGAAGATGGCGTCCGTATCCGAGCGTGATCCAGTTTGTCGGCATGACAAGTCGTTACCTCTCGCGTGCGAAACGATTAGCAGCAGCAGGTCGAGCTCAGAGGGTGTCACCAACCCCCCAAAAACACAAACAAAAACAAAAAAACTTTCCCTGTCGTCCATGTGAGAAGCAAGGGGAATTATACGGTTGTGGAAGTGTATGCCGATGTCTATTAATCGCCTACTTCCAATCCACCAGTGAGGCGAGCGCCATTGTCTCTGTGGTTTCAGTCTCTCGCCTTCCCCACGCCCTCAACCCGAATATCAAAACGCTGTATTCCTCCCCCCCCGCCCCTCCCGTTCCCTTTTTGCCGATCACCGCTCCGGTTCCGACTCCAGGGCCAGTGCCCGCTTGCGCTCCCGACACTGCTTCTTGTGGGCGGGCCAGTCTCTCTGCTGGCACTGCGAGCCACAGTAGCGAGCCACCTGACAGCGGCCGCAGATGTTGAACTCCCGGAGCTGTGGAAGAAAGGCAACGGGTTGGAAAACATTCTGTGCAGAAACAAACCCAATAAATAAATAAATAAATAAATAAATAAAGGCTGGCCATTTGTGTCGAGCTATAAACCGAAGCCAGGATGAAGCTGGCTTCAGCCAACAAAGATTTACGGCACCGACCGGCACAAAACCGACCCCCGAGTGCTACTTTTGGCCACGTTCCAGAGAGGGATCCTGGTTAAGATAAGCCATTTTAAACTAAAAAGAAAAAAATGTGTACAGAGAGAGAAGCACCGGGCAAAAGACACCATTGTGCTCTTTCTGGTTCAATAGATAGTTTTCAAATAATCAAAATCAATTTTTCATTTGAATGATGACTGTGATTTTTGGAATTGAGCAAAAAGTAATGATTCAGCAATCATTTTTCGACCGTCAATACGAATAACGAAACGGGATTTGGAGGGGACTTAGCCTTACAGAAGATTTTTTTTTTTTTGCTCCATATCAGCCTAGCAAATTGTGATTTGAAATTGCATCGAATTGGAAAGTGAACCAAAGACTACTAATTTGGAACGCAGTGCACATTTTCTTCACAGTCGACGACTCACCCGCCGCTCGATGAGCGAACAAGGCGGGTAATGGCACTCGTAGTACGTGCACGAGCACTCCTCTTCCTCCACCAGCTCGCCATTGGCGTTGTAGTAGCGTGTGCGACTCAGCTCCAGGTACTGCTCCTCCACCGGGTCTGCCGGAACCTGCTGGATGGCCAGCCAGTACAGTGACTGCTCCCTGGGGGTGGAGGAGAGAGAATAAAATGTCTGACAAAAATATGTCTCAAAAGACGCGACACGCAGATGGTGTGTGGTGATATCAAATGGCCCACGAAGCATTAATGGATCGGGGGAGCAGTGGGTAAAGGTCACTTTAGTTTCATTGAAGACTAAATTGTCAATGGGTGATGAATGTGAGTGAATGGTCGTCTATCATGCCCTGCAACTGGCTGGTGACCAGTCCAGGGTGTATCCCAGTTGTCTCACCCCCCCAAAAAAAAAAAAAAAAATCATCTTAAATTAACCGATGACTCACTGCATGATGACAAAACACCAAAGCGTCATTTGCAGATCCCAGCTGCCCCCAATCTTAACTTCTCAGCCTTGCCTTTGCTTGCTGGAAATCTCTTCCGGTTTGGGACTCCAGCCCACGGGGACCAGTCGCAGATTGTCTAGCCTGTTGTCAACCGTCACAGAGTTGATGTGAATGACTTGGAAACTTGGGGCGATGCCTCCTCGGTGCTTCTCCCTGATGAAACCAGACAAGGAGTGACACGGTTTAAAAAAAAAAAAAAAAATAGGTGTGTCATCCAAACGGTGGTTAATAACTTAATTGACGAGACAAAGGAAGGATCAGTTTCCATCTTAACCGACAGGCAATTGCCAGAACAACGAAAGACTGACCAGAGAAGCTCGTGCAGCGGCCTTCCCGCCCAGCGACCCTTGCCAATATCGAAAGCGTAGGCAAAGATCTTCGCGCCATTACCGTCTGCATCAACCTCCATGCGTGCCTGGTAAGACATACACACTTTAACGCCAGGTGGACAAAGACTTGTGGGGGAGGGGGCTACGGTGTCTGTCCTTACCTCAAAGGCATAGTTTTCCACAAGAGGGATGTCCTGCTCATCAATCAGTGTGTATTTTGTCTGAAAGTTCAATAATATACAAATGAGGTTGCATTCCAGCCCAAAATAAGACACATTGGACAATTTATTAGGCACAGGGCAAAAAGACAAAGTTTAACTGTTACGGATTCACCAGTTGAAGAATGAGTATACCCCCCCCCCTATAAAAGAACACAAGTGCCTAAACTTGGATCAGGAGCTTTCCGGTGAAACTGCGAGTTGCTAAGCCAATGAATGACATGTGGAGTCAATATTAATTTTTAGTAAAAGGGAAAATATTGGATGTCAAAATTCTTCAAATTTCATAATAACTGAAATGTAAAATGTTCCCTTATCCTTTTTTTAATTTGACACAAAAGCAAAGGATGCATCTTTTATAAAGTGAACAGATGTGTTCAAGGCTGCCAGAAATTATATTTGAATTGATCTCTTATCAGCTGTCTTCCTTTTTTCAGGCTGATGCCTATATTCTGCATTTTAGATAAATGGCCCGGCCGATGATCAGTCTATCCCTATTTATTAATTGCGTTTACTGTTCAGTTTTATTTACTAACAGCACTTTGTTTCAGATCTGGTGGATTTTTTTTAAGTTATCTATGAATAAAGTTGTTGAGCAGATAAGCATAGTCACATTAAAATCCACATTCATGCTTTTCTATTGGCCCATTCATTTCTAACAATATTGACAGTTGTATACATTGTTAAATATTTTTCTGACAGTGCCTTTTCAAACAAATTTTAGATTCACGTGTCCACGTCCACAAACTGCTAGTCACGTTCCATCCCCTCACAGGGTGTCTTAAGTTAATGTGTGTGCGTGCGTAGGGGGGATTCCATGTGATATGTACCCGAGACCCCCCCGTCCTCCCCGGGCAAGCCGAATGTTGGAAGCACAGCGTCATCCGCATGAAACACGGGTGGAAACACGCGATGTGACAGCCCAAGTGTCCACTATGATGCCCGCCAGCCGGCTCAACAACAACGTTCCACCCCAAACGTGCCTCATGACTACCACGCATCTGTTGACTAGAAAAGCAATTTATAATTTGGGGAGAATTTATGGGCAAGGGGGGTGAATTTTCCTCATTTACACGGATTTATGTATGAGCGGGAGCCAAGATTTAAGACGGCGTCTGGGCAATGGCTTCCTCGTCTTAAAATCCAAATGTCTGTGCTAGCGTGGCCACGCTCGCTCGGTTGCTTGTCGTCGTGTCATTAATATGACTCGCGGAGGAGAACAATAAGGCGTTTGCCTCGACAACTGCGGCGCGGCAAAATCGCTGCGAGGGAAATAAGCCATTTTAGCGACAATAATTAAATAACAGCGAAAACGCCGACAGCCTCTGCTAATGCTAGTTAGCGTTAGCATCTTACCGCGAGACTGCGTGGTGGAGCTGGCAGCGACACTGGCAAAGGCGACCCGCCGCCGCTTTCGCTAAATGCGTTGAAACGAGGCTAAATTGTTAACATTTAAACATCATTAATCGGCGACTTTTACCAAACCTTGATAAGAACCCCCAAACGGTAAATTTGGGCTCCTTCTGAGCTCCCGCGGGCCCTCCCCCGGCCGCACATGGCAACTCCAGGATGGCTGCTCACCTTCCCGGCCACACGGCCGAGCCGTACGATCCCCAACTTGAAGTCCGACATCGGGAAAGAGCGAGGCGTGGGATCCAAACCGGTATTAACCGTCGTCAGCTGGGGGAGGCGGCCCCCTAAAGCCCCGTTACGATACCGTTCGGGTTAAGAGGCTCGGACACTCTCCGGCGGCAACCCGGCCTCGGTGACACCGCTGGCAGTTGGCGCAGGGAAGGAGGACGAGCTCCGAAAGTGAGGCGGGGCGACAGGCAGATTCTTGTCTGACTGGCCAATCAAAACGACCGTTATGTTTTGTCAAAACATTCGTTTCCGGCTTTATACCCAATGGGCACCGATTTATGGCTGAAAACCGCCTCTTCCTTGTATTACGTCATCACTCTCGTGACCGGTCACATCCGTTTTCACGAATAACTGGTGACAAACTGAGTGCGATTTGTCAATCACTTCAAGTCATTTTTGAAATTAATTACTTTATTAATTGTGAACGTTAACGCTAAAAATCCAAAAGTGACGTCACGATGCATGACATTTGGCTTCACAAGCAGCATTGACGCAAGTTTTTGGTGGTGCATATAGTTCTGCCTTCATGTCCTGTCAGCAAGAGCTGTACTGTACTGCAGTGTTTTCGAACCTCTATTGAGTCAAGATACATATTTGACTGTTGGGGAAATCTCACGGAACACCACTAAACAAACAAAAAAAATGTAAAAACAAAACAAAAATACAATTATCTACCACACTGTGTTTTAAAAGTGACCAAATCAAAAACTGCTTGAGTCTTGACGATCAGACTACCTTGTGAAACAGTTCCCTTTATTGGTAATACAATGTCACACAGTGAAACATTTGGAAATTCTATCCCAGAACTAGCCTGTCAATCACTCATATCCAGTTACACACAGATGCGCCGGTAGGAAGGGGGGGGGGGGCTCACCGAAAAGTACCCAACTTTCACAAAAGGTGTTTTGAGGGTGAAAAATGATAGCGAGAGAAAGGTTGTCATTAAAGCATAAGAGTGAATATTTTGTCTTCCTCCACTGGAGTGATGCACATGCACTGTTGCAAAACAGGCTGTTACTGAGGTGTGCTTTTACTACTTATCCCTGAACACACTTACGAGACGTTGCTTACAATTATTTAACACAGAGCAAATGTTGGTAAACAGATAGGCCTACTGGTGTAACGTTCGGGAAAGATGAAGCTGTCTGATCCAAAATAAAGAGAGTCCAGTGGTTCGTTGTTTTTTTAGGTACGAGGCATCGTTTTGGGCTTTGACTTGCTAGCACAAACTCGAGACACAAGCGTTTGTATGACGGTAGTGAACGCAACTGACTTCATCATAAGCAGAACTTTGGCAAATAATGAAAAATTCTTTTAAAAATACGATTCAAATTGTTGAGGCCAATCTCTCATTAAGTTTACTGTCAAACTAAACATAAAATAGAATAACTACATGTTTTGTATTTTTTTTAAAGAACCACCTAGTTTTAGACTTTAATTTGGTTCTTAATCTTAATCCAAAAGTGCAACACTAAATATGATAATATAACTATCCTCACAGTCATATATTTATTATCCTCTGTGAAGAGCGGAGCTCCATGAAGAGTGTATCCATCTGTCTGTCTTACAGACCCCAGGTCGGCATAAAGGATAGCCAGACGGGGCAGAAACTTTAAACCCTCAAGTTCGACTTCCTGATCAATTTGGGACATGTCTCGAGACTTTTTGCTGAGTCCTGTTACAAGGGACATTTCTACCCAGTTTCGTGTCGATTGGTGAAAACAGGTGTCAGGGGCTAAAATGCACAACCTGATGCTTTGGTCCCCAACCAATTGATAAAAATTAGAATATTACTCGTTTATTTAATTATTTACAGCTTGGACTTTAAGATGTACAAACACAACAGCGCTGACACGTCTCACTACTTCCGGGTAGCGCTCACCTGTTATACCTGCGCTACAGCGCAGACTCAGCCGCGTCCCGCTTGCGCACCTGCTGTCATGATGACTGAGGAGCTCACGGATTTCACCTCACCGAAGGACGGCGAGGAAACTTCCCCGGCGGTAAAAAGCGAGGCGATGAGCCCCGCGGAGCAGCCCATCTTCGCTGCGCTCGGGGGGGACACCTCCTCCTCCGTAGCCGCTGGGAACAAGCCAGGCGGCGGGGCGAAGGCACCTGCTCTGACCGCTGTCATGGCCACCACCTCCGACAATGAGTCCGGGATCTTCTCCGGGGAGAGCGAGACGTGCGTGGAGCACGAGTCCGAGCTGGACTGGTTCTGTGGGACCGAGTTGAAGCTGATTTGCTCCCACTGCGCCATAGTTGGCTCCTGCCATGGACACTCCGTGACCCCCTTGGCCGACAGAGTCACTGCAGTCCGGGTGAGTCTTAGTCGTCTGTTTCTCCTGCATCTTCGACAATTTTAAGTGCATGTTGTAGTTTTAAAAAATGTGTAAAAAGGCCACACACACACACACACAAATAAATAAATGACTAAACAAATTTTAAAAGTCTATTGTAGATTGAGCTGTTCTTACTGCGTTGTGCAGACTTGTCCGTTGTTTGTAATATTTTCATGAAATACTGTAATTTGTATGAAAAACACTTCGAGCAGTGGCATGCAAAGAGAGGTGGTGGGAGGGGCAGTGGGGAGCAGTTGGGCGGCTATCTAACAGAGAAGGGCGGGGTTCGGGGGGGGGGGGGTAACCTCATCTCCTTCCCATATTGTAAACCTGGATTAGTTTGAGTTTACATGGAAAATACGAGTAAACGGTTAAGTAACAAAAGAGCAAAATTTACAAATATGAGGTAATGACAAAAATTTTGCAAAAATACATTTCAGTTCAGTGGATTTAAATCCGAATCAATATTTAAAATCTTTTGTATAACTAGTGGAAGAAGCAACTATCAGCTTTTAGGGACAATTTAGAGTGTTCCATTAACCTGCCATGCATGTTTTTGGAATGTGGGAGGAAACTGGACTACATGCAAACTCCACACAGGAAGGCCGGAGCCGGAATCGAACCCTGTGAGGCCAACGTGCTAATCGGTTGAAAACCGTGGTGTGATTTTGAAGATGTGAAAGCTAAAATATTTTCAATCATATATGAACCATACAAAGTAAAGTATAAGTCTTTATTTCTAACGAACAATACTTGCACACATATCTGTGAGGGGCGTGGCTTTGCATTGGTTGTTGCAATGCTTTTGTACACTTAATGTCAAACGATGTGGACACTGGCTGTGAGCACATACCAAGCCAAGGGGCCAGCAGTGGATTGTGTGGAATTTGTTTATACATCTGACAGCACCAATAACTCAACATCTAAATCCCTGTAAGGGTGTGTGACATGTCTATCAGGTTTTTCTTTATTATCATCCCCATCTAATTCCTCTGCAGAGACAGGATTTTCTCGTTGGATTTGCACCTTCCAGCTCATTCTTTTTTTTTTCCCCCTCCCACTCCCTCCATCCAAACCAGAATCACCTGGTGGATGTGTGTGAGAAAATGCAGCTGCAGGCGCTGAGAATGGAAAGGTTCATCGAGCGCACGCTCACAGCCAAGGAGCAAAAGCTTCAGGTGGGAGACGCAGAAAAATTCACCCAATTCCACAAAAAAAATAAATAAAAATAATAATCTTTTGTGTTCCAAAATAATCGGTTGCAAAATAATAATAATCTTTTGTGTTCCAAAATAATCGGTTGCATAAAACTACTTACTATATGCACAATTCTGAAAACAAATGAAGAGGCAGGAGTTATTGTCTTCATTTAGTTAGCTAGCGAGTGGATGATTAGTTATCGAGTTAAGAATCATTAGTCTATAAGCACAATTCTGAAAACAAATGAAAGAGGCAGGAGTTATTGTCTTCATTTAGTTCGCTAGCTAGTGAGTGGATGATTAGTTATCGAGTTAAGAATCATTAGTCAGTTCGTCATTCAGGGCTGGCTGATTAGTTACATAGTAAAGACTGTCAGGTTAGTTAGCTGGGGCTGGCATAAATTTGTTAGGACTGAGTATGTTGATTAGTTAGCTAGTCAGCTAACTAATCAGCTAGCTAGGAAATCGGTTGCATCTTGATTGTTTCACTCCAAACCCATACACACCATGTCATTGAGGACAATGACTACTTCAGAGCTCCTTGTTCATGCTCGTTATTGGTATAGGTGGCAGCGAGCATGGCTCGGGAGCGAGTGGTGGCCCGGGTCAGTGCGGCACGCGAGGCCCTCGAGGAAGAAGAGCAGCGCCTCCTGGAGGAGGTCCAACGTGAGGAGGAGCGCGTCGAGCAGTGCCTCCTCACCCAGAGGGCTCACTGGGGCCAAGCCATGGTCAGCCTGTCACAAACACGCTCCCGCTTGGTGCACACGCTAACGCACTCTCCGGATGCACAACTGGCGGTGAGAGGCGTAGTCTACATGGTTTTGTTTTTGATAAAGGTATTAAAAAGTAATTTAAGATGTGCTTTATCTCTGTCTTCACTTATAGACGGGCATTCAGGAGATTGCCGAAAGGTAAGGCAGGGTAACATGACTTTCTTTTTATATTCGATACATTTTCACCATCCTAATGAGATGTAATGCAATTGCACTAGATGGCGCGGACCTATCTTCACAATTGTGACATGCCGGTATATGTTCCTCTCAAATATAAAATCATTCCGTCTACAATAGTTGGGGACCACTGCATTTGAACCAATTAGAACAATGACCCAGCTATTCCAGCAGATGGGACTTTTTGCACAAAATGTTTGTTGCGTGGCTGTTGTACTACTGCCACCTATGGGACTGGAGTGGAATAGTGTCGCCCACCACATAGGATTAGCATTGTTTGGTCAGCGTTCTCGTTGTTTTTTTCTTTGACACAGCTATTGTGTTGGATGTCAGTTAAGTCATTGCGCTGCCATACCTGATTGGTGGTAAAAATGCATCAGATAAAGTCAATGTGCCTTCTTCCTGTAGAGTGGAGGAGGCTGAGGGAGTGGGCCAGCCGTGCGATACGGAGCAACTCAACATGAGGCCGGGCTGCAGCGATAGCCAGCTGCTGAGGGGAATGTGGGCCACTGCCATGCTGCACAGGCCAAAAGGTCAGTCGTGTGCATTATCCATACAGGAGGTCCTTGGTTTACGATGGTCCCGCCTCGGCTCCCGCTGACCTGCATCCCAAATGAGGATAAGCAATAGAAAAATGAGAGAGAATCCATGCCCCGAAAAGTTTTTGAAGATCCAAATTGTCATTGACAAAAAGGTTTATTGACAACAAAAAATAGAGAAAAACGTGACAAATGATTAAAAACTATAAGGCAGCATGAAACGTCTGGAAGAATTCACTACTTGTTGGCAGAGCCGTTAGCCGGATGAACCATCCGACAGATCCATGACAACTTGGAAGTCCTTAAATAGTTGGCTGATTAATGTTGGCGGCAGGTGTGCCCGCTGGAGGGAAGGTCCTCCTCTGCCACCTGCTGGAGACACACAAGAACAGAATCATGACAAACTCGCAGAATAAGATGAAATCTTCGCCTTGATTTGATATATGCAATCTTGGTTCCATTTACCGGTAATTTTTTTGCAGTCATGTAGCATGTCCCATTTTCTATTTGAGTCCTAGCGCGTGGCCCTTTGTCCATTCTAGAACAAGATTGGCTCTCTCGTAACATCCCATCCTTGTGTTTGCAGCTCACGGTTTGCCCTCTTTAAAGTTTGACGAACGCACCGCTAATCCCCTCCTGCTGCTCTCCGACGACCGCTGCACTCTGACCTTCCTCCACAAGAAGCCCCCCCAGCCGCCGCCTTACGACCCGGCGCGCTTCGACTGCTGGCCCAATGCCCTGGGCTCCCTGTCTTTGTCCTCCGGCACTCACAGCTGGGTGGTGGATGTGGGCCACAGCGCCGCCTTCAAGGTGGGCGTCTGCTACGTTGGGCTCCAGCGCAAAGGCTCCGGGGACATGGCCCGGCTGGGACACAATGACCAATCGTGGGTGCTGTCCCACTACGACGGCGAGTACTCTTTCTGGCACGCAGGCGAGAAGGTGCTGCTCCGGCTGGCGACGAGACCCCAAAGGGTGGGCGTCCTGCTGGACTGGCTCAGTCACACCCTGCTGTTTTACGAACCTGAGTCCGCTGCTGTCTTGCACTGTGTTACGCCTAACTTCAGCGCCCCTTTGCTGCCGGCGTTTGCCGTGACTGACCAAAGTATAACCATATTACACTGAAACTGTCAAACTACTTCAAGGTGAAGTCAATCCTAAAATATTGTTTTCAATATGTTCTATTCGCCGGTTCCATTTTGCCTCTTGCTGTCGACTGAAAATGACACCACAGTTGCTTGTAACTCAGGAAACAACCAATCATGACTCAGCGCCAGAAAACAGATGGATTTGGCTGCTTAACTCATATCACACAAACACAAAATGAAACAGAATGCCCTGTTTAGACTACTGGAGGTGCATAGAACATGCTATTGCAAAGAACATTTTGGGGTTGACTTCCCCTTTAACATGAAAAATGTGAAATCAGGGAGCACGGTATTTATCGCGAATATGCGAAGGATTACCATTATCGTAGTTTGAGATTGAAGAGTAGGCTTTAATTACAGATCTTACGGTACTATATTGTCAGATATCTGACTTTAATGATGCTTTTATAAAAAAATAAAATAAAATAAAAATTGTAATCTACCCAATGCCAATGCTGTTTACACAAAAATGTAATTGTTTATTTCGTGTTTTGGGTAAATGAATGATTGCCGTCTTTCTGGTCTGCAGTAGTCATACAACCTCCCTTTCGTAGTCCATTTCAATCATGGTAATATATTAACAATATAAAACTATCACATTGATAGAGCAAATCAAGATATTTCTTAAATGCGTCATATGGGAAATGTAATTTTAAAGATCTTGTTTCCAAATCGCTGCGCCTCTGGAGTACCTGCCCAAGTGTGAAATGAAGTAACCAAGTAAATCTTTCACCCCATTGTTATGGAACGTTATTTAATAAATGAGCAGTGGCTCATTTGCATGAGACCGGGGCTACCGTTTCAAACGAGTGACTTTCAGCAAGACAAAAAGTTGAAATATGTCACCAAAAAAATTGAACAGACATTCTACTGAGGAACCTGGAAAGTGTTTGAAATTACAATTTTGATACATGAAGAATAACGTCTTTTTTTGGGAACCATTTTCCGATAAAAGGCATTTTCTCAGAGACTGATGCAAACAGCCACAAGGGGTCAGTATTGTCAATCAATAAAGGCAAAATAAAGGCGCAGGAAAATCATTTACTGTCATAAAAAACAGTGAGGCTTTGATTTAATTTCCTTTGATACAAAAATATTTGTTAAAATCTCAACCACACACACATACACAAACACACACACACAACTCCCCACCTGAAGTCCATCAAGTGTTTCTACGCGTTAAGGAATGCTCAGTGAGCATTTATGGGGGTGGCTGGATGTTGAGTTCTCTTCTCAGATCGTCCAGGCTCTGCTCCCATCGCCTCTCGTAGAAGACGCACAGAACACAACGAGCCTGCAGGCCATTTCGCACCGCCCACGGGCCCAAAGACGTGACCAGCGACTGGAGACTTCTGGGGAGAGGTTGTAAAAGGAAACCATGTGACAAATCAACCAGGGCGTTGTGTTAATAAATGGACAACGGACAATGAATGACAAAACTGAACCTGGCGTTGAGCCGAAGCGGGCCCAACAGAGCTCCAAGGGCACACATGGGGAGCCCGGTCTGAGCGGCTTCGAACCATTTCACAGCAACTTCACCTGGGGATAGTTTGATTGATTGATTGATTGATTTGATTTTTTTGTGCGGTGTGGAAATTTGTTTGTCCGCGTGCGCTAACATGGTAACTAAATTTCATGGCAATGAAGAGAGAAAAACGACATGAGGTCCCTGCTCACCGAGCATGTTGGTGGGCATTCCCAGTAAGGTGTGCAACAGGTCGTGGACCTCTCGGTATCTCTGCATGACGTAGGACAGCTCCTCGTTGTCCACGAACTTCACGTGGGCCCGCGAGTCGGGCGTCACGTGCTTAGAATCCAAGAAAAAAAAAAAAAACGTGTCAAGACGCTGTCGGTCAGTTCAACTGAAAATGAACTCACATTGTCTTCCAGGAAGCGGATGTATTCCCGACCAAAAGATCCCTCGGGTAAGGAGGCCATCTTTTCCAAATCAAGTGTGGACAGGCGGATCTTGGGTCTCTCCCTACAGTTTAGCAACGACAAAACCAAAAATTCTTTCCTGGGGCCGCCGGATGAAGACTTTTTGGATGATGTTCCTGTGGCGACTCACGTGAGAATTCTGTATCCCTCGGGGTCGTTTCTCATGCGGTCCCTGAGGTTTAGCAAGGCCGGATGGCCCGTCGTTTCTCCGAGCACTGCGACCATGTCTGTGGGAGACAGTTTTTTTTTTTTTTTTTTTTAAGAGATTTACGCACATACTGATAATCGGGCCGATTTTTTGAGTCTGGACCGCCTTGCGAATAATGTCGACAAAATGCAATCCTGAGTGCTTATCGTGTGGCAAGGGGTGTGTTGAGTGATTTTTTTTTTTACTCCTTAACATGCTCAAAAAATGGATGCGAGTGCTGATGTCGTGAATTTCCTTCAAGTAGAATCATCCTAGCATTTACGGATGTTGTCAGGATAGCTTGTGCCATCAATCTTGTATCTGGAGGTCTGCCAGACATTTATCAACTCCTGTATCTTTATCATCCAACCTCTAACCCAGAAATGTTTACCTCAGGTTAGATCGTAAACTCCATTCAATGGAATCTTAACTATCTGATTGGCTTGTGTTTCACCTTCGGTATGAAGCAGTTCAACGGGCCAAGCTGAGACTGCCAATGGCTCACTGATCAACTCTTAATTCTCTTCATAGTTAAATAACGAAACCGAATCAAATGTCAAATCTGCATAAATTGTACACCACACTGATAATCTGGTTAAATTGGTTCAATATTTACAATGGCAAATCCTTATGCGTTTGGTCTCCACCACCAGAGGAGATGGCCATTCATCCCCACTACCTTCTATACCACTTGTCCTCAATAGATGAAGTCATTGAGGACATCAGCTGACTTTGGGTGGTCCACTCTGGATTGGTCGCCAGGCAAGTAAACACAAACAACCATGGCGATGTGGCTGTGAATGAAATTCAATCACCAAATGGCCAAAGCCAAGATTCAAGCCTGGTATCTCGGAACAGTAATCCAGACGGACTAACCACAATGTTGGCCAGAGCAGAACCCGTTTTGTGGAAACGAAAATCTAACTGACAAACAAAACACAATATGATGAAATGAAAGCTGATGAGGTCTGGGATAATCACAGATGTTCCTTTGCACAAAAGTCTCTTAAGATGAAATGAAACTGAAGAAGCGGACAAAATCAGACACCTGGTGCCTAAAACCGTTGCTTTTCCTTGACAAAACTATCAGGTTGACTTATGTGTGTGTGTGGGCAGCACCTACTCTTCTTTCTCGACTTCATATGCAAAGTAAAGGGAAAATAGAAAGCCCAGGTACTGTCCTGATCAACTGTTCTCACCGTGCCTGTAGGGGTCCTGCAGTGCGGCGATCCCCGAGCCCACTGCCAGCAAGGTCTTCTGAATCGGAGAGGTGGGGATGTGTCCAGGATAAAGTTCTTCATGGTATCGACTATCTGTCACCTTGCCCCTGCGATTCACACACGCTGCAGAGCCAAAAAAGGGGCAGGATGAGCAATCTCACACCAACATCATTACTGCAAAGAGAAAAAAATCTGCGTGTTCCCTGATTTATATCCCAGTTCACAGACCAAGTCCCAGCTGCACGGCAGATATTTTAAAGAAATTAATTTATTTGTCCAACGGGAAAAATTTTGAAGCTAATTTTCACCAATTGCACATCCACCAAACAAGATATGTTCACATTTAGTACAAATGACACATAAGCGGACACGAGTTGTACAAAATCAATCAACAAAAAAACCGCAACGTGTCTCCAGTTACAGTTCCATCTAAAACCGGCGAGGCTGTTTGTACAGTATTTCAAATAAATTAATAAAAGAGGATAGAAAGGTTTACTTCAACGCGGCTGCAACATAAAACCATCTCATTTCGACTATCTCCACCAGCCACTGCCCTCCCTCAATGTTAGCAGGAATTCGACCTCCACCGTGTCATTTACACCGGAATAGTCATTCTCGTTTTCAATCATTTTTCAAAACGCTGAACGTCACAACCTTTCCCATCATACTCGAGCACGTCAGCGGTGGAAATTCATACCGTTCGCGATCACCGTGGAGTGCCTGTTACCCAGTCGTGGAAGCTGTCGAGCCACTCGCCGAAACATTATTTGGACGTTCGATAATACGCATGCGTGGTCGACTAGATTTTTACGTACAGCAGTGTCTACTGCAGCCGCACTTTCGTCTTACCTGTTTGCGGGTTACTATGTTGGCATCCGCAACTTTAACACCGCCTTTACTTGTCAAACTGCTGCTAATCAATCAAAAAAAAAATGTCGCAAAGTATTTTAACACCAATTTTCGGGGGGGGGGGGCAGCGAAAGTTAATACAGTATGTGACGTCCCACACGGAAAGTCAAGTTTAGCTTTCGTCAAGGCTACGTTTATGTTTGCAATACATTAGTAAAATCGTAATTATAATCAGCGATTCTAAATATGCACTGTGGCTAAACAGTCTCGGTTTATAAGAGTAGAACTAGATGACCACAGGACAAGGCGAAATGAAAACCGTTTTAAGGGTGTGCTGGAAAAGTGACGTGTGTGTGGGTGGACTATAAAACTAAGTTAACTAGGACTGTGAGTTCGCTTACCGAGTGTGTCGGTTGAGCCACTCCGACAATTCGGTGAGTAAAATCCCTTTTTGGTTTCATTTTCAAGCAACGCATGGCAAGAGAGAGAGAGAGAGAGAGAGCGGGCAAGCATGATATAAATGTAGAGCGGTTGCCAGACTAACAGTCGATTTGCACGGTTTGGCAAGCCTATCCAGTTATTGTTTTGTGTGTTTTTTTTTTCTCCATGGAAGGTGTTTGTACTAATGTGCAAGACAGTTTTAGTTGGGTGGGAGAAGAGTTTACTTCGATGAAAACACTCTTGGTGTTATGCTTTTGTGGCTATGTTCATGTGCCCAAATATGGCTTGAGTCATTGTGCAGGCAGTTGCTTACTTTTCTTATCTGCCCTTCATCATGTTGTTGTGAAACTGTCTTTCTACCTTTTGCATGCAAGGATATACTTGGGCATAAAAGTGTGCAAACGGCGAGGGCCTTCCCCGGATCGTTATTGTTGTTGTAATAACACATTCCTAGCAGCGTGTTTGTTGTCATAAAGTATGTGAAGAGTGTAAGTCAATGTTGTGGCAATGCATGATGGATTCGGAAAAAGTCTGCGTCCTGGAGGAGGGATCATGTTTATTTTGTCATCCGTTTTAAACCAAACATTAGAAACAGAGTCTCTTAAACTACAACCACAGTAATAAAAATATTCATGCATTATTGTTTTGAGAAATGTAGAATTTTTTTTTTTGGGACATTGTTGTGTTGTAGTTGCACCTTTTTAAACAAGACTGATATTTTAAATGGAGCTCGGTAATCCATGCTTAAATAGTAGTTCACTAAAATGAATGAAAATAACCTTTGACATGTCTCATCGAAAAATGTAAATTTTTTTTTTTGGGACATTGTTGTGTTGTAGTTGCACCTTTTTAAACAAGACTGATATTTTAAATGGAGCTCGGTAATCCATGCTTAAATAGTAGTTCACTAAAATGAATGAAAATAACCTTTGACATGTCTCATCAGCATGCCGTGCATCTTGATCACAAGATAAGTTTTATTGAGGGAAGTATGAGGCTGAAAAGTACCATCCACTGTAGATACAGTTTGTCCAGTTTTACATCCCCCGTGAAACAATACGTTATTGTTTTATTGCCTTAACATCCTCTCGTAACCCATCCCCTTCCTTTTAAAGCGCAACAAAACCCCGCAGAGCTTCTCTGGATAGTCTCATAATGAGGAAGCTAAGGTCCATACGCCTGCTCTTGGATTTTTCAGTGACTGCTTGTTCATAATACAGTCACCACTTAAGTTTCGTTGTTGTTGAACTTGACATTCAAGCATAACTCACACCTCATAATTGATGAGCACTCCTTCATTTTTCCGCAATGGCATTCAAAGAGGCTGCGTGAAGCCCACATCGCACTTCTTCTTCTTCTTGTTTTTTTTTCACAGTTATTTAGAAATGATCTTGTGTGTGTGACCTCATACGTGATGACATCTCCTGGTTGATTGGAAATAACACTCACACACAATCGCAACTGAACCACGTTTGCGTGAAAAATCCCCAAAACGCGGCACGCGGTCTGTTGCATGACTTGCAAGTCATTTCAAAACAAATGATCCAATCCTCGCTGTCATAATGAACATTCAGTACTGCTCTGAATGACCCCATTGTGGGTAAAGGTTCTCGCGCGCACGCTATGTTGCAACTTTTTAAACTTGGGGGGGGGGGGTTCACAGTATACAAGAAACAGTGAGATTGTGTACCTTCAATGTAGTACCACACCGAGCACCGAAATCCACCGGATGAGATGCTGCGAAATTCAGACGCCAAACTACCGTAAGCTCCACCGATAGTCGTCGTGATTAAATGCTGATGAGAAGCGCCGCCTATGCTGTTAATGTCCTCGGGATGTGTGAGTTTGTTCGCTTGAGCGCATGCAAAAGGTATGCCGTGACTTGTAGCCGCTTATTGTGCTGACATCATGTTCTCTCGATGACGATATGAGCATCTTCCACACTCATGACGAGCGAACTGAACTTGACTCGTCCACATTCGATTAGATGTGAAAAATGGACAACGTTGTCGGTATGTCCTGCCGCATACCAAATCTAACTGTACGGTCGGTGTGGTGTGATATCACAGTCTGTCGAAATTTGGAATTTGCTTTCTTACAGATGTGTTGGTCAAAAAAAAAGGCCAGCACACAAAAAATTGTATTTGGGTCCAATGATCTAACTTTGTGTTTTAAAGCAATTAAAAACTACACATGCTGTGTGTGTATGTATATATATGTACAGTCAAACCTCGGTTTTCAAATGTCTCTGTTCTGGACCAAATTGGTTTTCGACCAAAAATTGATTTTTTCATGCCTCGGATTACGACCGAAAATCAGTTCTCGACCAAACTGAGCGCACTTGAATGCGCCACTTGACTCCTCTCGCCTTCCTTATATGAGGAAGTGATGCTTCCTCGAGTAGCATTTCATTGTGAGCAGACGTGTTCAATGAAGATTTAAAAAAAAAAAAAAGGGGGGTTTCGGTTTTCGAACAAATCGGTTTTCGAACAGCCTTCTGGAACGGACATACCTGTCAACTTGTACGTTTTTCCCCGTATTTTATACGTTTTTTTATCATTTCATATCATGTATGGCGTATTACAACTTTTATACGGGAAAAAAAAAACATTGTGAACCGATCTCACAAAGACCATTTTGGCTCAAATCCAGATCGTCTCACCTGCTGGTAGCCAACAACAATGCCGTCGTCGATCGCTACTATTGTCACGGAAAACCAGCAAAAGTAATCCTCAGTTTTATATATATTTTTTTTTCATCGCTGCGTACGGTCGGATTGATAAAGCGTGATGTGCGCATGCGCGGTAAGCCGTTATACGGGTTTTTGTTGCTTTGTAAGCGGGAATCGTAATCATTTATAAGGGCGGCTATTAGCCGAGGTTGACAGGTATGAACGCATTATGGTCGAAAACCGAGGTATGACTGTACATGTATTTTATTTTTTTTAGCAGTATATCCCCAATTGAGCTACTTTCTTCCCTTTTTTTTTTTTTTTTAAAACAGTGTCCATCCTCGACTAGTGCCAGTTTAATGGAGAAGAATGGCCCGAGTGTGGTTGGAGAGCAGCAATTCTTTACCAGGGATTCCCCACAGCGTGCTGTCGGTGCCCATGGAAAATAAATACAAATGTCAGCAGTGTCTCCAGGTCCTCAGGAAGCCCGTGCAGGCTCAGTGCGGCCACCGCTTCTGCGTCCACTGCTTCAAGCAGCTCACCAGGTAGACTGCGAGTCCTCCGTCCACTTTCCCCTTTTAACTCAATGCTCTGGCCTCTCTCTGGGCTTTTTTTTTTTTTTTGTCTCGCTACACCCAAGACTAATCATCTTATGCAGACGCATGACAGGGCTATTGTGGTGTCAGTGACTCACAAGGATGTGGCCATGGCGCCAACTCATGTTGAAGGTGGCGCTCTCGCTCTCTCTTAGTTTCACATTCTGTAGATCAGTCTGATATTAGTCATGGAAGTTTTGGAATTCCAAGTAAAGTTAATTGAGTTCAGGAAGGTCAAACAGCCATTTTCGTGTTTCGGTTACAAGATGCGTGCTAACTTCCGGTCACTAATCTCATGCTTGGAGATATCAGCAAAATCTTTCAAGTATACTTGCAAGTTTTGCTGAAATTAGTTAAGTGAGTATAAATGAGTTTATTTCCTTTTTGCTCCGGCGATCCAAGCGTCAGCGACGTGGATGACGCCCCGCTTGTTTGGAATAAACAAAAGCCGGATGCTTGTTTGTCTCGGCAATTTACACCGGAAACAACCATGGGGGAAAAAAAAGTGTCAGTACAAAGTGGCGAATGTGACTGTATGTTGTGATCGCATTTTTACCGGTAATTGTTTTTTAAAGTCTTTCAAGTATCCTTGCAAGTTTTGCTGAAATCAGTTAAGTGAGCATAAATGAGTTTATTTCCTTTTTGCTCCGGCGATCCAAGCGTCAGCGACGTGGATGACGCCCCGCTTGTTTGGAATAAACAAAAGTCGGATGCTTGTCTGTCTCGGCAATTTACACCGGAACCAACCATGGGGGGGAAAAAAGTGTCAGTACAAAGTGACGAATGTGACTGTATGTTGTGATCGCATTTTTACCGGTAATTGTTTTTATCCGACGCAATATAGTATGAACTGACTTATGACTTCCGGTTCCCACGGGAATAACGTGACTGGCCTTGCTTGAAATTTCGCGCAGACTTCGATTTGGCTCGCTTGTTTTGAACTCACGTGTTTGTAATTCGGGACTTGCTTCAAGTTGGAAGACTTCAGGATAGGGACTTGCGCATTCTGTTTTTTTGATGATTATGATGTCTTCGATTTATTTTCCTATTTTTTGGGCCATTTCTGAAGGAATTGCTGTTCCTTGTTTTGATACATTTAGTTTCTTCTTCTTGTTTCATTGGTAGATTACTGGCTGTCACTTTTGTTGTTTTCATCTGTTCAAACGGCAAACATTTTATTATTTTTATTTGTGTGTGTGTGCTTTTGTACCTCAGTTCAGGCCCAAAGCCGTGCGAAGCCTGCCGCCAAGAGAAGATCTACGAGGAGCCCACCTCCATCCTCAACATCAGCGAGGTAAGCGCTCTAGAATGTGGACGACATTGTTCACCAGTGAGACACGAATTCCCCCCGCCGTCTCGTCATGAGGGCATGTTTTCAGTTTGTTTGCTCACCTTCTGCCAGGCCTTTCCGGACAACGCGGCCGGTCGAGAAATAGCGAGCCTGCCCGCGCAGTGTTTGAATGCGGGTTGCAGCTGGAAAGGATCCATTAAAGAATACGAGGTGAGGATTGATTTATTTATTTTTATTAATTTTTTTTGTGTGTGTTGTGTTTTGAACTGCTCACACACACACACACACACACAAAGAAAAATACAACTGGAGATTAAATTGCCCGTTGATAGAAGGTCACACCAACGATTATATCGTTCGGGCGCGATGTGCGCTTGACTGAATTTGTTGTGTCGTGCAAAGTTTTCCGTTTGAACTTAGTGGCGGGAATATGGGGGCAAGATGAGTCATAGCAGGAAACAAGTTGCACTTTGCACTCTTTGCAAATGCGGGTTTCAACCGTGCTTGAACATTAAAAAGTTTTTGAAAGAGGAGCGGGAGAGCAAAAACTTACAAAAAGTTTGTCCCGGTGTTCCAGACGCAGCATGAAGGCTCCTGCGAGCTGGAGCGCGTGCAGTGCGAGGCCTGCCAGGCCTTCCTGTTGCGCTCGGAGCTGGAGCGACACTGCGAGAGGGAGTGCGAGGCCCGAATTCTCAACTGCAAATATTGCAAAGTGTCATGCAGCTTTAAAGACATCAAGGTGAACTTCGCATGGCGCGCCGGGGGGGGCCCACGGCATTGCTTGCGCTCAGTGAACGCCACAGCTCTTTTTTTTTTTTTTTTTGCAGGCTCACGATGAAGTGTGCCTCAAGTTCCCGTTGCAGTGCAAAGACTGCGGTAAAAAGAAGATCCCGAGAGAAAAGGTGAACAGCACGTTGAAAATGAAAGAGAAGTGATCATATTTGAAGTATGCCATCAGACGGATATGATCTCATCTTTTTTTTTTTTTAATCTATCTGAGGTCGCCAACTCACCATAAACTTTGTTTCACCTCTCCAGTTCAACGATCACCAACGATCCTGCCCTAAGTCCAAGAGCGCCTGCCCCTTTAGCAAAGTGGGCTGCAAATTTGTGGTGAGTTCCTCACAGGCCACAACATTAGGTACACCTGTACAAACGTCAAAAATGCAAACCGGAATACTTGATTGGCACTTTTATGGTTAACTCGGCGACAGAAGAGGCACAAAATATTGGAAGCAGCTACACCCGACGACAGGGATGTCCACATTTTTTCGTTTGAGGGCCGCATACAGGAGGGGAAAAAAAAAATGGAAGGACGAAAGGGGCGCTTTAAAAAAAATTGTCAGCTTTTTGAAACACGCTCAAGTCATTCAAGAAAGCCCATTCCGATCGACTTTCAGCTGGACAACGACAAGCTGAGCGATCATGAACACAGTAGCGTCACGGAGCACCTGCGCTTGCTGCTGCCCATGGTTCTGTCGGTGGCACGGCCGCCCCGCACAGAGGCCCCCAGTGAGTGGCAAGAAGATTCGGGTCTGGGCCTGTATAGGGCTCCTGAGGAGGGAGCCTCGTCCCCTGTGCCTCCTGTGGACCAGGACAAGAAGGTGTGTATATATAACTATTTCTGTAAAGTATTACTTTTCATAATCAAGAACACTTTTGTACAGTAACTTGTTGTCATTAAAAAAAAATAATAAAATCCTTTCATGAGGAAATTCGTTGAATGACTCGTTCTAGTCAAGTCGTGTTGCGGTTCTGCCCAGGTGAGCACCTTGCAGAACATCGTCTGCCTTCTGAACCGAGAGGTGGAGCGCAGCTCTGTGACACTGGAGGCCTTAACGACAAGCTGAGCGATCATGAACACAGTAGCGTCACGGAGCACCTGCGCTTGCTGCTGCCCATGGTTCTGTCGGTGGCACGGCCGCCCCACACAGAGGCCCCGCCCCCCAGTGAGTGGCAAGAAGATTCGGGTCTGGGCCTGTATAGGGCTCCTGAGGAGGGAGCCTCGTCCCCTGTGCCTCCTGTGGACCAGGACAAGAAGGTGTGTATATATAACTATTTCTGTAAAGTATTACTTTTCATAATCAAAAACACTTTTGTGAAGTAACTTGTTGTCATTAAAAAAAAAAAATCCTTTCATGAGCAAATTCGTTGAATGAATCGTTCTAGTCAAGTCGTGTTGCGGTTCTGCCCAGGTGAGCGCCTTGCAGGACATCGTCTGCGTTCTGAACCGAGAGGTGGAGCGCAGCTCTGTGACACTGGAGGCCTTCTCGCATCAGCACCGCCTGGACCAGGACAAGCTGGAGAACCTGAACAACAAGGTTCAGCAGCTGGAGCGGGTGCTGGCCATGCGCGACTTCCAGTTGTCTGAGACAGAACAGCTGGTGCGAGAGCTACAGTTCTGCACCTACGACGGCATCTTCGTCTGGAAGATCTCGGACTTCGCCCGCCGCAGGGTCGACGCCGTGGCCGGTCGGACGCCTGCCATGTTCTCGCCGGGTGAGCGGACGCGTTCGCACATGAGTCTTTGGAGTTTTGACGCGCTGTTGTGCAACGACTGAGAAACCCGATTCGGAAGCCTCAGTCATTTGATTCTGATCGGGTTTTTTCTTTGTAGTCCTAGTACAGACGTGGGTAATTATTTTCCCACCGTTGGCCAAACGAGAAGCAGAAAATATTGTAGAGGGCCGGGCCAAAAGTTTGAGATCTACTCCGGTTATCGATTTGATTTCTACGTTGAAATAAGTAAATAACATTTTAACTTTTCGTGAAGGTACCACAATGTCATTGTATGCCACTAATAATGTAACATAACTCGCAGCATTTTTTTTCCCAACTGCCAAACAATGCAGAAAAAAAATCTTAAGCAAGCATGTTTCAGTGTTTTGTTTTTCTTGTTCACTGAGCTAAATGTAGCCTCTGTTGAGCTTCGACAAGTGCATCCAAGCAGATTGGAATGTTTGAGGTGGAGATGTGAAGCACACCTGACAGATGCTCATCAGTATGAGAGTGTCTGTACCTGGATTTGGTCAACTTGTTTTGTTGCTCCGGACAGATGAGCGATGAGTCCACCAAGCGCTCTTGAACGAATTCCCCCCTCCGAAAAACGACTTCGTGTTCTTCGCGACGTAGTGGACTATAATAAAGCTGGTCTTGGTTCCTGCTTTCCGGGCTGCGTGTTAGCTTGGTGAAATGTCCTTGTTGGGGTTTTTTTTCCTAGCTTGGCTAGCAAATCTTCGAAAAGCTGCGCTCTCCCAGCTTCAGTCAAACGTTTGAATTTTTCCGTAAGCTTCGTCTCGTCACGCCGACTCACGTTATCGTCCTTCAAGATGGCGACCGGCTCACTACAAAATAAATACACGGGTGGACCCTTAATTTCAGTAAACAAATATTTAACAGTCCGTATTTTCTGGAAACCAGAGCATTCAGTGTCCACCTTTATTTTTTTTTTTTTGGGGGGGCGGGCGAATATTTTGAAGGGTTACCATTACCGTGACTTGCTACTAATCGCGCGGATTCAGCCCGAGTACCTGTACGTAAACACGCACGCACACCGGAAACAGGTTTCAAAGTACAAGTTCTGCTGTTTTAGTCCACGCACGAAGCAAAAATTTCAAACTAGGTTTTATTTTCTGAATTCCAAGTCGCTTTTCACAGGCCAATACGAGCCGTGCAGCGGCCCAACATGCATTGTCTAAAATTTTGGAAGTGTTGTAGCTTTTATTTTCTTAATTCCAAGCGACCCTTCGCGGACGTAAGAGACGGCCCGCGGGCCGTACTTGGCCCAGGTCTGCCCCAGTAAATCGGAAAATTTCTGACGAGTGAAGCACGACTCAGCAGGGTGCACGTGTCTTCCATTTGTTCATCTAATTGAACAGGACTTGTTTTGAACATGTTTTGCCGCTGTTGTCATCTGTCAAAACCTCGAAGGTGTTTCCCCGCTTTCGCTCAATGGTTGCCACGTCTCCATCTCAAGCGAGGCACGTTGCTTTATGCGCGTTGGCCGGCAAACGCGGGGAATTTCCAGCAGCTCCCCTCCACCCTTGATGTCCTGCGGGGAGAGTTCAAGAGGCTTCGTTTCAGGCTGGCTGGCTATCACGTTTCATGTTGTCCTCTCTTGTCTGTCGTCAGCATTCTACTCCAGCAAGTACGGCTACAAAATGTGCCTGCGCTTGTACCTGAACGGCGACGGCACGGGGCGGGGGACGCACCTGTCGCTCTTCTTTGTGGTCATGCGGGGGCGCTGCGACGCGCTGCTGAAGTGGCCCTTTAGCCAGAAGGTAGGAAGGGGTGAAGTATGTCTCAAGTTTTGACCTTTAAGTTTCAGGCAAGTCAAGTTGCGTCATCTGCAGGAGAAATGATTTGCGGGATTTGTGCACAGTCACTTGCTTGAAACTCAAAGGTGAAGATGGGAGACTAACCTTGCTCCGTGACGGGAAATCCAACTCTACGCCGGTGTCATTCAGGTGACGCTGATGCTGCTGGACCAGAACAACCGCGAGCACATCATCGACGCCTTCCGTCCGGACATCTCGTCCACGTCCTTCCAGCGACCGGCCGGCGAGATGAACATTGCCAGCGGCTGTCCGCTCTTCTGCCCGCTGGGGAAACTGGCCGGGAAGAGTCCATACCTGCGCGACGACACCATCTTCATCAAGGCCATCGTGGACCTGACGGGCTTGTGAGGTGAAGACTGTGGAAGTTGCCACCCAAAAAAAAGCACCATTCACACAAAAGACTGTATTGTTCTATGATGAGCTGATCATGTTATCATAGTACACTAATAATAATAATAATACATACATTTTACATACCATACCACCCCCACTTGCATGTATGAAAAAAAAATGTTTATTTTTTTTCGTTGATAAAATCCAGCACCGAAAGAATGTAAAAAACCTACACATATATATATATA